AAAGAATTAACATCAAAATTTGATGTAACATTTTACGTTATGATTTTTAACATATTAATAAATTAATATATTGATACTTAATACAATATAATAAATACATATAATATAATAAATTAATATATTAATTTATATATTACATGTATATTACAATTTTTCATTTTCTATGTCAGATACAATATTTTACAATTCTATTAAAATAAAATTCGCTTCTCGAATTAAACAAATACGAATTTAATATAAACATAAGACACGTCAGAGTGAAACATAGCATTTCCAAAAATCTTAGTTCTGTCATTTGGCAACAAGTAACTAAGATTCGAAGACACTCTTTTAAGAATCGTATCAAACATTATACAGAACATTTTTCGAAGGAGTCTTCGAGTAAGCAATCGTGACGGTTACGTAAGACATCATCTCGGTAAACTGATCTAATCCGTGAGCAGGTCTCGGAACTGCTACGGCTTCTTCATCTTCGCGGCACCAACTTTCGCGAGAACATTCTCTCGACGGCCTTCAGACCAGTCATTTAGTTATATTAAGGAAAAGTTGCTGCGATCTTCGCTGGAAGTAAATGCGACGAGTTGGGCGGTGGAGAAAAGAAACTTCCGAGCCTGTGAGCCGACCGACGATTAAGAGGAGTAGAAAACTTCTCCCAGACGCTCATGTGTCCTGCGCGAGATAACAAATGTCATCTCGGCTATACTACGCTTCGCGTCGACAGAATTATGGCCACCGCCATGTTCGCGGTGTCGCCGTGAACCTTCACGCGATGATACCTTTGCGTAAAAATACGAGATGCAAAAATACTAAATATTATTATCATGAATATTTTTGTATTACATGTTATATATTAAAGCTAACGACAAATGTTACGTCAAATTTTAATATTTACACTAATTCCTTTAATGCTGTAATATATTCTTTGGAATATTAATTTATAAATGCATAATTTTTTTATCGCATGCGATGTTAGTTTTTAATGTAGAGCTTAATTATTTATTATACATTATAATATTAAGGAAACGATATAGCTGTATAAAAATAAAACCAAATAATCAAAAGAAATAAAATGAAAAATAACACATAAATAAGACTTAAATATAAAAAAAAAATTATCCTAAAAAAAGGACAGATAAGTGAATTATCTAGTAATATATATAATAACGGGTTTATATTCAGAAAATTAGATCTCTTGCTTAATGATAGAAACGGTCCTGAGGGAAAGGTAATTTAGGGATTCTTACATTGACGAGTATTTTGTACATTATCCCTTAATGATGCGGGGATTAAAAAATCCCTTGGGTATTGCCACTTTCACGCGCTATTTGCTACCTATACGATTATTCGATTGTATCTACCAAATTCAATCACAGAATTTACTTGACCAGTATAAGATTTAGAAGAAATATCATTATATACATAAAATTAAACAACAATAAGTAAAAAACTGTTAGTTATTCAACAAACAATAAAAAGATGTGAAGAACAAAAGAACTATAATATGCTATATTAAGTGTATAAAAATTCTAGAAAAAAATACGTGTTTTTTTCTAGAATTTTTATACACTTAATATAGCATATTATAGTTCTTTTATACACGCTTAGTATCATCTTTAACTTTTATGTGCCCTTCACATCTTTTTATTGTTTATATATAAAACACGAAGAAATTATTAAAATTAAAAATTTAAGATATTTTTGAGAAAAATAATTGCAACACGTACTTTTGAAGGAATACGTATTTACGAAATAGACAGATAATTATAAAAATTTCTAAACTGTTTATCGCCAAATTTATCGCTTAAATTCATTATAGTAAAACTTTGTTGAGATATATAAAAACAATGGAACAATAGAAATAAAAGTTTTAGTCACGTTTTCCTTTTATTTATGTCAGGTTTGATTTATATCTCTACAGAAAAGTACAAGAAATGCAAGAAAACTTTTATATACAAGGTGTTTGATAAGTAACGATAAACTCTCGCATAGGGGTAGAGCGGACTAAATTGAGTCGAAAAGTCCTCTACCATTTTGCAATTTTCACGATAATTAACAAAATATCAATTACTAAAAATCATCGAATATTGGTTTTCAATAATTTTTTACGCAAGTATTATCAAAAACTTTATAGAAAAACAACAAGAGAAAAATTGTTTATTTTTTTTTATAGAGCTCTAAGAATTTTTTCAAAATTTTGTCAATTTTTTGATACTGTATTTTGTTCTTGGTAACTATTATATTTTTACCAACATAAGAAAATGTGGTACTAAAAAATTCTAAAAAAATTCTCAGAACTCTATGAAAAAAAATTAACAGTTTTTGTCACTTGCCGTTTTTCTGTAAAGTTAATAGTATTTGAGTAAAAAATTATTGAAAAGTAATATTCAGCAATATTTAGTAATTAATATCTTGTTAATTATTGTGAAAATTGTAAAATGGTAGTAAAGGACTTTTCGACTCAGTTTAATCCGCTCCCTATGCGAGAGCTTTATCGTTACTTATTAAACACCTTGTATATAAACTTCAGTTATGATAAATTTTATTATAAATTTCATTATATAATCGAAGCTTTCTTATTATTAATATGAGGTCTTAATTAATCACATTGCTATTTACGTTTATCTTGCATATTATAATGATGCTTTGTGATAGGTAATAAAAAATAGGCAGGTATCTTGTACCATATAGTAATCATTTATAAATTAGTCTAAAAATATAAATATTAAAAAAAATACAGTAATTCAACATAACAAATCGTTTAAAAACTTAAATTAGGAGGATTGACAGCGATCCGTGCCACGAAATTTAAATCATACTATGAATAATATTTCATAATGCGAGATTTAAATTCCGGGTTGGTTTCCCGACTTTTAAATCCATTTCAATTCTTTCTTGCAAGACAGAATTCATTTTAATTCTCCTATTGGAATAATCCAACCTTAAAAAAATTAACTTTTTTACAAAATAAAATGTGTTAAAATTTCTTTCGTTCTCTACATTTGAGATTTAAAGATTGCAGCTCAGTAAAAATTAAAATGAAATAATTATTTATCGAATTCCTTGAGAAAGTGCAAAGTAGCATTAGTATTTCAGACAAAAAAGCAAAAATGTACTAAACAATTTTTTAATTTAAAAAATTAAAAAAAGCTTTTTTAAAAAATTAAGTCAAATCAAAAGCTTTAATTAATAATCATAATACGTAATTTTTATACGTTCAAATATTTAAGATTAAAAATTTTGAAGGTAGAGAACGTTTAAAAGATTCTTTTTTTATTTAAATGATTAAAAAATTTTTAATATTTTAAAATGTACATTATTCGTACCAAGAAAATTAAATTTCTGTATAAGTTCCAGTACAATGCAGTTCCTAGTGCAGCCGCAGAAGTCAAACCGTACTGCTTTCGAATAGAACAAGTAGACAAAGACAACTAGCAGTTGAAGTCATGGACGACAATTACCACGAGGGTGATTCGGTACTATCGAAAATTAACTGCGCTGACTCGGACCAATGTGATCCCCTGGCAATAGTACATTATTGTGCTAGGCTCTAGCACACGTAGTTAGTACTAATACATTAAACTAGAGTCTACATCGTAGATCTCTATTAATAGAATCGTAATTACCATAACGATTTTCAATCAATGGATTAAATCATAGGTGTTATCCTTGCAATTTTATTAAAATTTCATCAATATACGTGTCGATAACAACAGATATCGTGCATTTTATATGCAAATCTAAAATTTTTGCAAAATTACAGAAATATTACAAATGCAACAGAGATGTCGAAATCATAAAAATTTGTCGCAGGCTATTTATCCTACGTAAAATATTTACCGTCTCTCTGTTTCGGCATTATCGTGAATTACATTAAAATAAGGTAGAAAGTATACAAAAGAGCAAACATTTTAATTGCGCGTAACGTTATTTGCTGTAAATATACAGATATTTTGTAAATGAATATATTTGTTTGCACAAAGTGAAACACATTATTGTAAAAACAAAGAAGTAGAATGTATTTTATCAAAAGAGTATGGTGTTATGTTGTGAGATATATCAGCGTTCATTGCGTTTTGTAATTCGCGTGACCATATATGTTTTGCATATTTGAGGCAATGTCAATTTCCTGAATCAATATAGGCATTGCAACGTACCAAGATATTCCAGGCAACAAAAGCAATTTGGACTATTCCCCGTGGCAAATGAGGCGCCTCTGATTAACACACATTGGCTCAATTACACGGGTTAGCCGAGGGAACACGAAATTGCCTGCTATTAACGGTGGCGCAAGGGTGGATAGACATACGAGATATATCAGCCGGATAACACGACGATACGTTGAAAGCCATAGAACGTAATGGGAAACTGCGGAACAAAATGTTTCACTATTTTCTTCCTTTGCGCTAATTTAAGCCCACCAATGCAGTTCACACGTGCATTTCGTTCGCCAAGGCAAACCGCCGAATTAATAGCCAAAGTGGCATCCTGCGTAACGAGCTCAGCGAGGTACTTCAAATTGTAAACGTCGATTGTAAAAGATAAAAAGACTAACATAATAACAGTTAATCTCCAAAAAGAATCTTTCAACGATAAAAAATATTTCGCTCATTACAACTTGAGCAGTTTACTCGTATTATAAATGAGACACCGAGCTTTCGTAACATCAAAATGATAGTTTTAAATTTTTTATACTTAATGCATTTTAGAAAAAAAAATTACAATTCTCAAGAAGTTGTTTCATGAATTGTTTCTTGAGAAAATGTTAAAGACTTTTTAAGCGGATTATGCAACTGTCACAATAAAATACAGAACGATTCAAATTAGTATTCATAATCAGTAGCACTCAATTTTCTTAAAACTGTCGAATACAATGAATAAATAAAAAAAGTATAACAAACAGTGTATCATAACGAAGAAAAAAAAAGATTTTATCGTACAAATGTACACCTAAAAGAGAAGATTCTCTCTCAAAAACTTTTAAAAATTATTATACGACTTACTCTTGCTGCCAGACCTCGTTCTTCCTCTCACTCCTCTCAAGTACTAAAACAATAATAATAAAGTTTTTATTACAAAAATGCAAACTAATCAAACTACAACTAATAAGTCTCAGATTCATATTTACAATAATATTTTTGCTCAGAAACAAAATTAGTCTTCAGATATAATATCATTTAGCAAATAAATCTTGAAAGTTAATTGACTTTTGTTATGTCATATTTGCAATTCGATTAAGATACTCAAAGTTTGTCTTAAGATATAGTCTGAATTTTGTTTTTTGCGGTTCAATATAAATAATTGCTTGAGAAAGAATCGTATGTACATGTATCATAACTTTAATTCTCTCTTGAATAACAGTAAATTAATTCAGATAAAATAGTCTTTTAATTAAAATAAAAATAAACTTTATTATTTCAATAATAGATTTAACAATTCTTTTTAAACAGTATCTGCAATCAATCATTAAAACTGTTATTAAAAGTATGTAATAATTACATTTTTCTTTTTGTTAGTAATATAGATGTCGATCGGATTGACGCAAATTCTCTCGTGAATTAGGATTCAATAGTATTTCTAATTTAAAATACTTTCTTATTTAAACGGAATTAATCGTTAATTTAGAAGATGCTAATAAATTTACAATTCAAAGAATTGGAAAGAATACGGACGTTTGCAGGCGCAGAAAACGTCGCGCAAATAATACACTTATGAAGCTTGAAACTTCTTTATTCAACAAACGCGCTTACATATTTCGGCTTATTTTTTAGCCTTCCTCAGAGCAAACACAAACAAACATATATAAAGTAAAAGTTATCCTGTCATGGTGAGCCTCCCCTACATCGAGAATTTAAATGCCAGAATGAATAAAGAAATTTCATGCTTCATAAGTGTATTATTTGCGCGACGTCTTCTGCGCCTGACTCTTAACACCCGTATTCTTTCTATTATAATTCTTTAATTTATAAGGAATCTTGGTTAGTTTGATTTGTTATACAAATTTACAATTACAAAACAAAGTGCAAAATATTTGCAGAGAGTAACGACTTATTTATTAAAATTAATTTGAAATGGAATAGAATATTTGACGTAATAACGTTTTTCGAAATAGATTGAGATATTTCCTACGACTTACATTAGTAGATAGTATTAGAGTAGAAATCGAAACGATAGAGGAAGTGAATTATGGATTATAATTTTACGATATTTATAGGTGATAATACTCTTCTTAATGACATTGGGTTTAAATATATACGTACAGAGTGTTTAAAAAAACCATTTAGCATTTATACATATAATGTACAGTGTGTATTATTTATCATATAGATGCTGAATAGTTTTTTTGAACACTCTATATATTTAAAATCAATACGGTATATATTTAAATTCAAATGTCACTATTATCTGTCATAATTATCTCATATAAATATTGTATCACGCTCTAAATTTCTATGCTAATGTAGTTCGGCTATTACTATTTTGAGATTGATAATGCGGAATAATATATAAATCACTGAATCGAATAACAAGAAGCAGCATTATATTAATTATGTGTTAATAATTAGTTTGAAATACAAAGAAGAGGAATTTTCAGTATATAGTTATTTCATTCGTGATAACGTGAGACTGGTTGGTATATGGTTTTGATATTTGTTTTAGTAACGTTCGCTGCGCGCTGTCGTGTCGCAAACACTGTTATATATTATATATATATATAGGTATAACTTAAATATAATACATATCAGTAGTCGCAAAGCCACTATGTATTGTCATTCGCACGGCGAGATTCGTGTCGACGGAAAAGCCACTCTGTTGCTCTATCGTTACATAATTATTTCTTCAAAACGCGATTATTTTCTGCAAGCAGTTAACTACTATCAACTCGCATTTAATTAACTCCCGCGATTAACGACAGTAAATATATCGGAAATTTATCGAAGTACTTCACGTGATTTATTTATTTCGAGTAACGATAAGAGATGAGAATTATAAATTTTATATACGTGTGTATATATATTATTATTATTTTATTTATTATCATTTTATATATATATTATTAGTATTTTATATAAATAACAATTATTTCCTTGAAACTGAAATTCTAATGTATCTCGCGTTTCGAATTTTTCGCCGATGCGTAATTTATTCGACTCTTTCAAATGGAGAGTGCGGAGTAATATGCGGATCAAATAATTAAAGTAATGGAAGACTGCGATATATCGTTGATATCTATATTTTATTGGACTTTTGCATTTGAAATATATTGCGCACGCAAATGCTAAATTTCGATTTTATTTTTTTTGGATGATTAACCATTAACTTAATTTTATTACTCATATTTGTTTAGTTATAATTATTACTGGTTACGTAAGAATTCCAGCGTCACTTTCAAATTGTTTTAAATTATGTATATGAAACGTGAATGAAACATCGTATTTAATTAATAAGTATAGCTACACACATAATTACATTCGTATTTTTATATTTGTCAGTTATGCAGAATGTAAATTTTGGAGTTCTTTTTATATATATAATTTGATAAAATTTTTCGCCATTTAAAATTTCGTTAGTTCTAATTTGTATGATTTATAGATACGAATTATAAGCTTTCATACTTTCTTCACGTTAATTTCCCGTCACAATATTGTATAATAGAAAAGTATACATTATGTTTGATTAAAGTCGGGAGTGCCGTGCAAAATACGATTACGATTAGCCATATTTTTGCGAGCGTTGTGTGAGTGCAACAAATAAATTTAAGAAATAAACCTGGGAGGCATCACACGACCACTTTTCATAATTCGCTGAACATAACATCAATTTAGCATTAATCAAAATGTTGCATTTGTTGAATCATTTGTATCTCAAATCAATACTTTATTATGAGTCTGGTTTTTCAATACAAGATTTATATAATAATTGTGAATAAAGGCCTCATTTTATTCAACTAGAACAAAATATTTGAATAAGAGGTTATTTTAAAACGTGACTTCCTCATCGTTTTTCTTAGCAGGTACATTGGTGAATTAAACAAGATATTGACGAGTGTTAGCGGTTGATGGAGTCATTTTAGAAAGTATAACGATAATACAGGTGAAATATTTTATCACAACTTTATGTGATTGTATTATATATATATATATATATATATATTTAATTAGATTATAATTCTAGATTACACTCCAAAACGTCCTCTCTGAAGAAAATTTTACTTTACTTTTTTTAAATTTTACTTAAAAAATTTTTACTTTTTTTAAATATAGCAAGCATAACGCACATTATATTATATCTAGTAAAATTTTCGGAAAAGACGTTTTGAAGTGAAGTTGTAATATCTCCTAAGAAAATTCCATAATGGCGATTAAAAGATCGAAAGCGACTCGATTCGATAAAATACAAGACGCGTTGCCTATAATATGCGGAACAATACAATTACTCACGTTGCGGACGAAGTTGGAACGACGCCGATTGCGCACTTCCATATGATTAATTTCGCACAATTACAAATACAACGGCACAGATTTTACGGAGCACCCATTTCGCGTTACGTGTCGCATTACGCTTGATTTTATATTTGAATTTTATGTCGTCATAGTTCGCTTTTTGCGGAACAGAGCGCGCCATTTTCTGCTTACCGACTGCTTTCACGTAGGTAACTCACAGATTTTGTTGAAAGGTAAAATACCGACTTTTATTGACCAACCTTGAAGTCAAAAAACTTTCAGCAAATGAGAAAATCGAAACGTAAAACGCTAAATTAATAAATTTTTTATTATTTTATCGTTAATCTTTAGCGATTTTCTTCAGCTGTTAACATTCGCCAATATTTTGTTTAATTCTCCAATACAAAATTTGAGATTTATTTTGTCAATATATAAATTTATTTTAAAAATTGTTGTACAGTATGTACCTTCATATCATTTTATTTTTAATGAATTATTTATTATCACATAACAAAGCGACTCCCCGCAATATCCAGTAATCAGGATTTTTTAGAGTTTGCAGCCAGAGCGATGTTACTAGCAACATGTAAGTCCTCTGAGGTTTCTTATATACGGGACACTGTGCAAAAAATATTTAAATAATATATTATATATATATATATATATATACATCGTTCTGTGTATTTTACATTTTATTTAAAATTATAATAATTATTCTTATTAATTGCAGTAATGATTATAATCATTTATTTAAATTAATTATTATAACTAAATTGAAATTCGTATTGTACTTACCTGATATAATTTCAGGCCTTTATTTGGGAGAGGAACCTTGTCTGCATTATGTAAAGCAAAGATATGTATTATCGGCATTAATACATAAAGAACTTTATTTGCTGATTCACACAAGCGGACATTTCTTCGGTCAAAGCCGGCACCTTCGAGAAATAGACCATAGACATAAACACCTTCCTATTTCGTGAACATCAATATCATTAATTATCGCAAAGTAATTTTGTATATATATTGTGTAATTATCAATTGCATACTGGTGGTGGTGCCTTGATCTCTTCCGCTATTTTACTTAAGACTTCATTATGAAGCATAACATTATCTAAAGCCCATTTATGCGCCCGCGTTATTTCTTGTTTCATCGCCGTTAAAAATCCTATAAATATCGTTTTTAAGTCGAGCCATTATTATATTTTATTAACGCTAGAACCGCTTATGATGCCATTTTAATTCCGTTATATTATTTGCATTTTTATCTTTTTTATATTAAATATGTAGTATAGAAATATATTGAAAATATATTGAAAATATATATGAATATGACATAAATAGTTTTAATAATATAAATAATATTAAAATAACTCTTTACTAGAGCCAAAAACAAGAATAAAAAATTACCAAATTAGTACCTGCGGCAGTTTTAAAAGAATACCATCGACGGTTCTAATATTAAGAACTCGTTCAACACAAAAATATGTATGTTAAATACCTTGTGGATTGAAGAAGCCAGTTATCCAGAACTTCGACGGCCTCCCGCTCTGCAGCCAAGTCAAAAACTGTTGGTTCCTTTCCAACAGTTCTGTAAACCAGAATCCCAAAGAAGCAGACTCCCACGATCGAGCCTTCCAGATCTTCGGTATCCTAGCGTCGTATATATTGTCGAGGGCGTCTCGCAATTCCTGAAAATATATTCATATTTATTCACTTTACTGCGCTTTATATAATGATTGTAATTATAAAGGGGAGCCTAAGAAAATTACCTCGCTCATTATAATTACGCCTTCTATGGCCAACAAAAGATCTTTGAGCATAACGCGTATTAATTTTATAACCACCTGTATCCTGTCGATCTCTTGTTTTAAAAAAATGTTCATTGGGGCGGTATGATCCATTGCATGCAATCTATGATAGTTAAAGCACTTATTATTTTCTTATTAATCATTTCTATTAAAAGAAATTTTTTAAAATAATTAATAATAACAAATTAATTTAAACCACTATATAATTAAATCGAAAATAAGTAACGAAAAGACCTATGGTCGAGGCTAGATTTTAGTGCCTAATAATATATATTATATTTTATATATATATATATATATATATATATATATCTTTTAAATCAGGAGCCACAGGTAGTATCTTGGTACACATCGCGTATAAATTATAATTATATCACTTATTATCGAACTTGAAACGCAATCATAAATTGAAGCTAAAATAATAATATCATAATTAAATCGTCAATTTGATATTACTAACATCTTAACATACTAAAGAACCAAGCCTCCACCATATTGGCTCCTTCTTTACTTATTTGAAATAAGTAATAATTAAAATAATTAAAGGATAACAGATAATTGATTAACCTTTCTTTAACTTCAAACATGTCATACAGACCCGGTACTTTTTCTAGCATTTCCTTCGCCTGTCTTGCAACAACCACTTCTCGGGATTCTACACCAACAACACCCGCTTCTTTCGGTTGCACGGATATTATTGTATCTAACACAGTCTGCGTGGTGTTACTCTGGTATCTATAATAAGCATAATTTTTCAATTATTTTACATAAATTCTTATCTATTCTTACATATCTGTAATTCTCGCGATAATATCTTACGTAATGTCTGCATTTGGATGTAAACCATACACTTGTGGCGGATCCACGGGACTCATAGCATCTATCGCCTTCAGATAGTCGCTTACTTGCTTCAATACCAAAAGTGGATAACCTTTGTAGAAAACAAAACCTTCCGCGAAAAGCGCTTCCGTAAACCACAGTTTTGCGAAGGTATTTAATAATCTCTTATCGTAATCGTCTGTAATGCGTCCACCATATTGCACTTCGCCTATCATGTAACTGAAAATGCAAATATACAGAGCGAATTAGTCTCTAAGAGAAAGAAAAAAAAAGCACAAGTAGAACAAAAAATCATGATGACCAAATGGTATCAAAAGAGCTCTTGGTTATTAAAAATGATTTTTCAATCACGATCTATATCAGTCACATCAATCATATCATTTTAACGTTATTTTGACGTTATCGTAACCTGCTGTTTTGCTTGGGAACTGATATAATTTAAACTTTTTCATTTACCGCACGTTTTGCCAATTTACACCACGCTTCGGATCGTAGTCATTCAAATGATTATTCATAAACATGCAAGATGCCAGCCAGTCCGCCGAATTAAATTCGTAAGGTATGTTCCATCCCAAGGGACCAAACTTCCGTCTTTCCTGAACAACGGTATGCAGGAATGATACGGTGTATATCAGTGGTATATATTGCGTAGCATCACACTGGTCCAATATTTCCTGATTCATACTACTGTACGTCGCCAATAAACTCGCGCGTATTCCTAACGTGGAAATCACACCTTGATTATGCTACTCTTACTTCCTTACATAGGAATATATCTCTGGTAGGAAGCAGATGTTATTGTCATCATTTTCACATCAAAATATCGTCATAAATGTCATTTTGACATCAAAATGGTGACAAATGACGTTAGCTTGCTATCTAGGATCTTTATTAAGTAAATAGAAATAGATGCCATGCGGTGGTTCGTATGTATATTTTGTAGACATCTGTAGTAAGGAAACAGGAAAATCTTTGTGCGGTTCCGTCGTGATCCATACGCGAAAGTCTGGATGCGGCGCTTTCATTTCTGAAAGAAAGGTTACCAATTCCGCCATATACTCCAAGCCTAAATGACAATTCTGGCATAATGCCCAGAAACCCTGCAAATGGCTGAAATTAATAACGCTTCGTAACACCAAAGAGAAAGCGTTTCCTCTCTATAGTATACTTCAGTTTTCGCGCTACTAAGCAGTCGACGAGCATGAACTTCTTGACCCTGTCCCATCGATATGCTTCTACAAACGATTTCCATTCTCTTTGCGAGCTGCTCGATATTAGGCGTGGGATCCGATCCCATGCTTAAGAAACAGATCATTGGTGTATTTGGTCTTGACTCACTATGCATTACATCGAGAAGCGTAATCACAGGCTCTGCATATTTTGCTCCTAAGGAAGATGCTATATATTTCCTTGATTGCGACAGCGTTCTATCCATACACCAAGCTCTGCAAACATATTATTTTACATATTTTTTTGTATATTATTTTATTGCATGTAAACACCAGTTTTTCTACCAAACTTGAATCTATAAATCAATATAAATAATAAAAAGAGCTACGAGCCAGTTAAAGAATATTAAATGTTCTTAAATTTAACTGGCTCATAGCCCTTTTTATTATTTATATTGATTTACTCTAATTGAGCCATTCTATTGATTTATATTGAATCTATAACTTGTCTGAAAGGTAAAAGAAAGTACTAAAAAATAAGAGATTATACTTTTATGATTGAACTGTGTCAGTATATTTTAACAATAAATATTGAATTTTATAAAAAATGAATTATTTATTTGTACAGCTAATAAATTGCATTTAAGAAATTTTTGTATTTTGTATACATAATCTTGAACTATAGCAATGTCATTTAAATCCAAAACAAAAAATTTGTGGACTATTGTACAATTTGTACGATACTATAAGATTCTAAATTGTAGGTGAAAAAACTTTGAATTCTACTTTATTAATCGCCATAAGACGGAAATTCACTTGTACTTCAAACAGGATGCTATAAAATTTAGGTGTAATTCTCGTATTCTAACAAAAACAATTGTTCACTAAATTAATTTATTTGGTCTTTATTTTTTTTAATGAAGAATGTAAGTCAAACATATTATATTCGATTAAAATACATACATTTTCCAACAAAAAAGAAATTAAGACAACTAAATTGATTTAGTTAAATAAACAGTTAATTTTTAATAAAAATTTCTTGCTTAGTGCAATTGTAGTTCAGAGTTAATCACATTTTTTTAAAAGTATCTGTCTTGTACTTTTTATTAGAGATGTTCAAAACTTTCCAGAATATATGTCATAATTCATTTCGTGTTTTACACATAAAAAATATTAAAATCTTAATTATAAATTTCTTGTGTTATATGTCAATTCGGAATTTTTAACGCAGTGAAGATTACTTTACTGGAAGATTACCTTATCAAGAGCAATCGCCGGAATGTATC